TCCCAGAGCTCTAGTGGCCTTGAGTGAAATCCTTTGCCAACACCTGCCTCAGCTCTTAATGCAATGGATTCCTGTCTCTCCACCCCCCCCCCCGCCACATCCCAAACTGTGAGGAGTTGGGTTTCACTGGGGTCCTTTGATGGATGTAGCCTAAAACCAGCGGTCCTCGGAGAGCAATGTTTAATTAGTCTGACTGACAGCAAGCTCTTTGCCCGATTGCTAATCCTTGGAGTTCACGTGCTGGTGATATTTATACACTTAGTAGCCACTAGAGGGGCAGTGAAAGAGTGGTGTTGCCAGCAGCTATATCACAACTCACAACTGGCAGCCCACTGCAGCTTAGCAGGTGTGAGCCTGGTCAGTACCTGGATGGGAGACTCCTGGGAAAAACTAAGGCTGCTGCTGGAAGAGGTGTTAGAGAAGCCAGTGGGGGTGCTCAACCTGTGGTCTGTGTGGGTCCTAATGCCCCGGTATAGTGATGGGGGACACTATACTGTATACTGCGGATGAGACGTAAAACTGAGTTACTGACTCTCCATGATCATTAAAAATCCTGGGGTGTTTCTTGAAAAGTGTTAACTGGTGTCCTGGCCAAAATTTTCTCCCTGGCGTTTACCAATCATGGCCTCCTAATAACCCCCATCTCTGATCTGGCTTCATCGCTCTGTTCTCCTCCTCACTGAGAGCTGGTGTGTGGTGAGAGTACTGGTGCTCTGGCTCCCATTTCATCATCCAGGTGGTGGAGAGGAGTTCCCAACACCTGTAAAGCACTTTGTGTGGAGTCCCCCAAAAAGCACTGTATAAATGTAAGGTGTAGTGTTACTATTATTGTTGTTCTCAAATATGAAATAAATGAAGTTGCAATTGCACCCTAATAGTATGTAATTAGTTTGTTCTGAAAATTTGGATAGAAAGTACTTTGAGATAATGCTCATTATGAATAGTTTTTTGATGATTTATTATTATTATTATTATTATTATTATGGTTGGCACAACCAGCAACATTTGTCAGCCTGTATGAGCGTTTACAAAGACCTTCACACCTTCTGAGGATTAGCCCGAGAGGAATCCCACAAAACAGCTCCCCGAAGATCTGCCGACACCCTGCCTTCACCCTGCCACCCTGTTTCACAGCACAGAAACTGGATTATTTGAGGAGGACAGCAGTCCTGTGTGCAACATGCTCTACATGCTGCGGGAAGAAATCCTAGAGAATGTCGTTCTTCAGATCACGCCGTCGGCGCAACAAGCTCATCCAATGTTTTTCAGCTCCTGACAAGGGACGGTGGCAGCACAGTTGCATTGTGGTCTCCAAGGCCTGGGGCCCTGGGTTCAACTCCGAGCCTGCGGTACTGTCTGGGTGGAGTCTGCATGGTCTCCCCGTGTCCTTGTGTTTGCTCGGAGCACTCCGGTTCCCAGCCACAGCCCAAAGACATTCAGGTAGGTTAATGGGCTTCAGGTAAGACTGCCCCTGCTGCAAGTGTGTGTGTGTGCCCTGCAATGGGCTGGGTTCCCTTCCAGGACACACCCCAACTTGTGCCCAGTGCGTGCTAGGACAGGCTCCAGCTAGGGTGGATGTATAGACAAGGGGAGGGGGGTCACAACATCAAATCATGGGGGAACCAGCCAAGACTTGAAACAAAACTGAGAGCTGTGTGTGGTGAGGTACTGGAGCACTATGGCTGCTGTTCCATCATGCAGGTGTGGCTGCACACTGGTGCTGGTGGTGGGGAGTCCCCATTGCCTGTAAAGCGCTTTGAGTGTAGTGTCCAGAAAAGCGCTATATAAGTGTAAGCAATTATTATTATTATTATTATTAAAAGTGAACACATGGAAGCTGGACAGGACCTTGATGAAGTGGAGATGAAATCTTCCTTTCCTAGCTCCTCCAATTATTTGGCACTGGTGTTCAACCTCATGTTTAGCCCAAATAGATGCATCTCTGTCAGAATTTACCCAACCTGAAAATATTTGCCTACATTATGATTTATAAACCCCTCCCCCCCAGATACAAACAGGACACACTGGATGTGTGGAATTTATCTTAATTTGAAGAATTCGTGTCTCAGGATAAGGACTGCCTGTCTTAGCCTGTCCTTGTACAGATGCAGTATCGATGCAGATAACAACAGTATTATCAGCTTTTTGCTGGTGTCCCCTAAACTACTGTATTTGCCACAGTTCATCTTAACCTTCACTGTGGCCAACTTTGTCAGTGGGTTCATGGGTTTGTACACTGCAAAAAATCCTTACATTGTTCTCAGAGTTTTGGACTAAACAGATTTTTTTTTATCTCTAGATATAGAACTTTCTTACAAGGCCAAGCGTTAATCTGGTCGCTCAGCGGAGCCAGAATGTAACCAAAGAAATGTTGCTTTATAAAGTGCTGAACAAAATGACACACAATAGTCCAGTTCAGTAAATGCACCATACAGCTGTAGTACAATGTCCCTTGATTTTAGTTCTTCAATTTACAATTCAATCTTAAAGATCTTATTTTATATATCCTAATGTTTGAGGTCTGTTTTATTAGGCTTTTTGGAAATCATATACAGGTTTCTTATCCTATGCAAAGAGCTTTGGCACAAAAACTGCACTATACAGACTGGCGTTTATAACAAAAGTTTGGGAGGGGTGACAACAACTAAGTTCAATCAGACTCAGCTGTCAGTAATTAGCAATCGCTCCTGACAATCCACTTCTCTCTCAAATGCTATAAATACCTACGAGATCCCTCTCTCTCTTGCATCCCACCTCCACCCCATCTCCACCTCTGCAGCTGCCCCTTGGTCAGCCTGCAGGGGGGTCCTGGTCTCCTTGTCCTCTGGCCAGGAGGCCAGCCCTCAGCCAAGCGGGTTAAACCACAATTTGGCTCCATGCAGCTTTCATCCCGGGTGTTGTCATTCCTA